CAGGTGCTTCCTCCTGGTCTCCCATGCGGATGCAGAGCCCAAACACTTGGGCCATCCTCCACTGCCCTTCTGGGACACAGCAGAGAGCTGGACTGGAAGACAAGCAAGGAGCAACGGGGACAGAACCAGCACTGGTGGTGGAGGTGTAACCAAGTGAGCCACAATGACGGCCCCAATACTGAACTCTTATTTGTTCTTTAGTCCACTCATTGACTACATTTGTTTTGTCTGATATGTCCTAAACAGTGCTCCGGGTAATAGCAATACAGCACCAGGAAAATTTCCCATTTGGAAAATTTTGAATTTGTACTGAGCAGTTATCATTAACTACCAGTTGGTTGAATTTATGTTGGATGTTATTGGTGATGTTGGATGTTATGCTTAGAGTGTGTGATCTCTGCAGTCGTGAAGGGCTTCCTGAAAAAAAACTGAGCTGAAATGTAATGAATGACCAGGACTTGATGAAGTGATTGGTTGTCAGGCATTTGCATCTACCCCAAAAGGCCAGATTTGAAGAAAGACCTTTGCAAACTTCCTTTTATTTAGTAAAGTGAGAGAAGAGACTTCACTCCACTACCCAAGACATAGTCAACTATGGGAATAAAAGGCTGTTTGCATGATGATGTGCCTTGGTGGCATTTAGCTAAATGGGAAACAAGATGCCACAGCCACATATTTCATCATTTTATTAGCATATGATGCTTAGAATATACAACCCCACAAATGTCAAAGTAGAAAAGGATTTTTCAGGTGTTGGAGTTAGGAGGTATGCCCACGGGGAGTGTACACTAATAGACACTGAATTTCTTTACAGCATGATGAAAAAGTACTGGGGTCAGATAACTGTGAAAGTTTCAAAGTTCTTTACTAAAATAAATTTTAATAGAAAACGTTCATATATTCATTGCAGTTGTATGCTGTGTGGTTTCTAACCAAGCTCTAATTATGACGACACTGTGCTCATGAAGTTACAACGTGCTCCAAAACAATCCTGCTGTCTCACATAAAAATATCCCAGGGTGGCGAGCTCCTCCATATGGGAGTTCACAAAGAATCATCATCAAACCTGACATGTCATGGGGGACCAAGCCAAAAAAAGGGATTCAGAGGAGAAGTAAACTGGGTTGGAACGTTACAATGTATGAGGGAACCTTTGTCAACATCATAGAAACCCACTGTTCCATGGTCACAATCCAGAAACACCCCAACCATACTCAGGGGCCTCTTCACATAGTGAGTTAAGGGTGGAACACTGGTGTAGAGGATGTAATGGTTGTTACTCTTCAGGGAGGCCAGGAGAAATGCTTCTTCAAAATGAATAATGTCGCTGGTATCACTTGTGCTGGAATCATAACAGACTCCCAAAATCCAGTTGGAAGAGGATGACACATCCACCTCCCAGTAATGTTGGCCAGAGGTGAAGGTCTGAGCACCCCACACAGCAAAGCTCTCTGCTCTCTGGGAATGGTTGGGAGCACTGCGATGTTCTTCTCCAAATATTGTGCTTCTGAGATCTTCAGAGAAGCTTACATAGCGGCGGGCCACTTCCTTCCTCAGACCATTATCCACTGTAGAAAGAGAACAATCTGATCAATGAATGTTGTTTCCATGGCCTGAAGACAAAACTTTGCTGCCCGTGGATTCACTTCACTCGACTTTGCAAGGAAAACTAACAGAAGAAAGGTAGCATAATGAATTGAGATTCACTCAACTGAGAAAATCAAAGGTTCAAGTGCATTTACAGGAAAAAAAAATCAAACAACAGAGAAAAATAAGAAAAGGAGCTTAAACATATCACACACTGTGTGAAGTAGGGTTATGGTTGATCTAGAGTGTTAATTATTTCAATAGTTTTGAATATATATGTTTAATTATATGTCTTTGAATAGAGACACAGAGACAGAGAAATGTTACATCTGCTCGCTCACTCTCCATATACCCACGACCAAGGCTGGGCCCGGCCTGTGCCAGGAGCCAGCATCCAAACATGGTCTCCCACATGGATGGCAGGGATCCAGACATTGGGGATAACATCTGCTGCCCCCCAAGGTGTGCATTAGCAGGAAGCTGGATGGAAGCTGAGGTGGGACTGATTCCCAGGCACTGTGCTATGGGGTAAGGATGCCCAAGACACTTTACTGCTGAGCCAAATGCCTACCACTCGATAGCATGTATTGAGACAACGATGCAACTTCTACTTTCTTGGCTAGGAAAGTATCCTTTAGTGTTTTACTTAATTCCATTTGTAAATACAATACTTTGAAATGTGATAGATCTTAAATGGGAAATCAGCTACACATCTGAATATTTCCAAAATAAAACTCATGCTCCAGTAAGTAGTATACTTAAAGAATGTTCTGACTTCAGCTTATCTGTTCAGGATGTGGATTTAGCCCAATCTGGGTTTCAACCGTCTGTCCCTGAACTCTCTCTACTGCAGGCCTAACATCATTGCACTGTGTTCACAGATCTCTCATCATTTAATTGTTTTCAGAATCATTGATAGTATTGGAATGGTTCTGCTCTTTTTTTACAGGCAGAGTTAGACAGTGAGAGAGAGTGAGAGAGAGAGAAACAGAGAGAAAGGTCTTCCTTTCCATTGGTTCACCCATCAAATGGCCACTACGGGTGGTACGCTGTGGCTGGTGCACTCCGTCGATCCCAAGCCAAGAGCCAGGTGCTTCCTCAGGTCTCCTATGTGGGTGTAGGGCCCAAGCACTTGGGCCATCCTCCACTGCCTTCCCGGGCCACAGCAGAAAGCTGGCCTGGAAGAGGAGCAATCAGGACAGAATCCAGAGCCCCAACCGGACTGGAACCCGGGGTGCTGGGGCCGCAGGCAGAGGATTAGCCAAGTGAGCCGCGGTGCCAGCCGGAATGGTTCTGCTTGTGAGAATTTCTCCTTTTTTGGGTTGGTCAAATACTTCTGAGTTTATCAATGATAATAGCTATATTAGCAGTGCAGCATAAATGTACTTGGCATATAGAACAAATTAAAAACCACAAGTTGTGGGGAGCAACTCGGACTAGACTAAGTTACTGGAATTAAGACTTATTCTATGCATCTGCTCTCCCACAATATGGCGCTGGGAGAGGAAGAAACAGCTTCTACACAGCTGCCTCCAGTTCAACCAATAAGCAGCAGGAGCTGCTCCTGATTGGAGGAGAGCAGCATACTCGGCGTGTGGGTAGCAGAGTTGGGATTGCTGGAAAAGGACTATAAAGGAGGAGCGAGACAACATGCACCAGGAACATCTAAGGGGAACATCTATCTGAAGGAACACCTGTGCAGCCCCCGAGAGAGCCGGCCGGCGGTGTGCCGCTCCCCCGCAGAAGTGGGGATAGTGGCTAGGAGGAACCGCCCTTCCACGGAGGTGTAAGGGACGGTGGCCAACCCGGGAAGAACCAGCAGCAAACCCAGGGAGGGCGGAGCAGACAAAAAGAACAGCGCAGGGTCCTGTGTCGTTCCTCCACGAAGAGGGGGAGCGACATAATGGTGCCGTGACTCGGATAGGAAGCTTAGGCAGGGTTTAGTGTCGTTCCTCCACGAAGAGGGGGAGCGACACAAGTGCCAAATTTAAACTTTAAGATCTGGCCAGTATTACAGCATAGTGGTTAAGGCTGATGGCTCTGACACGGGCATCCCATATGGTAGCTGCTTCATGTCCCAGTTGTTCCACTTCCAATCCAGCTCCCTGAGAATGGCCTGGGGAAGCAGCAGAAGATGACCCAAATATTTGAGCCTCTGCTACCCTTGTGGGAGTAGCAGAAGAAGCTCCTGGCTCCTGGCTTTGGCCTGTGCTAGCCATGGCCATTGCGGCCTTCTGGGGAGTAAAGCAGCAGGTGGAAGAGCTCCCTTTCTCTCTATTTCTCCCTAAAAACCTGCAGTGGATGGAGTAAACACACAGTTTTGACTGCTGCTCTAAGAAGTGAGCATTGTACCCCTTCTTAATCAAATGACCTGGATACTCTTCCTGTAGTTTGCTTACATCAGCATGCTCATTACAAATTTCAGTTTCGATCATTGCAATGTGATGAAACAAAGTGAGAAGGCACAGTTTCAAAAAATCCTATAACATTTTCAGGGACACAAAATGAAATAAAATAGGAAATGGCTCAGGCACAAAAGCCGTGAAGAAGGAAATTAGGGCTGGAAGGATGGAGGCTGAGCTCACCTCTGAAGTTGTTTAGCATCTCTCTGAGTCCAGTGATGTTCCGCAATGTCAGCTCTGGGTTCACCCCCTGGAGACGGAGCGTCTGCACCAGCTCTGCTCTGTAAGGAATCACACGAGTGACACTCCAGGTCAAAGGGCAATAGCAGGGTCAAATCAAAAGTACCAGCTGTAAATCCAAGATATTTCATTGGGAATTTTCCCATTATCATCTAATAAGAATAAATGTATTCACTACCTTAGGTGAGATAAAATTAGTACTTCTCTCTAAATTTCACATCACATCCATTTGCCTCTTTCTTCTCAGACATTATTCAACCTCTCAAATGACAGTGGCTGCCCCCTGTATCCCTCACTTGACTTCAGGTAAAACAGAAATCCTGAGTAGCTACAGAGAGCAGGGCTTTTAGGTAGAATCTATGGGAATTCAGTCAACAGACATCCCCAACAGTACAGTCAGGAGGATCTGCACTGAGCCAGGAGGCTGTGAGCTTTTCTGCCAAGCAAGGGAATGGAAATCCAAACTGGCAGCCATGGTCCTGAGGGAGCTGAGGTGGCTGATGCCCCTGATCCAGCCAGCAACTGGGACAGACTCAGAGGGCAGGACCTGCTCACTGCTGCTCCCAGGAGTGAATCCTCCCTCCTCCTTCCCTGCTGTGGGAATTGCTCTTTCCTGTGTGTTTTTCACTTTCCCTCTTTCAAGGGTGGGGCCTCCTCTGGGATTTCTCAGAATAATATGTACATAAGGGTTGGTTGGGATAGTTTCAAAGGAAGGGGAGGAGAGAAAAGGTGAAATAAAGCCCAGAAAGTCAAATCTTTTTTTGTATATTTTGGTTCACCCACACCTCATCTGGCACCAAAGAGTAGAAGACCTCAGAATCCCTTATCCAACAACATGGTAAATAGTCAGGAAGATCAAAGGAAATCATGCAAAACAGAAGCATCTGCTGCATCAGCAAGAACACAACTTTCTTACACATTGCAGATTCTCATTGTAAACTTACCTTTCTAATACACTCTGCATATCCTGCAAAAAAAAAAAAACATTCAGTTATGATAATTCTCTCCTCTGATCTCTATGAAATACTTGCATTGTTAATTTGTAGTAATATATTTTCTCCTTATGATTTTGTAAAGAGGGATCAGAGTCTGTTAATAACAGACTATGACCTGATCCATGAGGAACTTCCTCTGTGTGAATTAAGAAGGTGGTACTCAGGATGAAGATGTGCAGCTGTAAAAAGATTAGGTTGTAGGTTCCCTCATGCCCACTCACATTCCAGAGAGAGGTCTGACTGCTGCTAACATTATTGCAAAGCAGGGAAACCTCCGAACATCAGAGTTCACTGCAAATGATTATCAAAGCTTTCTTAGGCAAAGGCAAGGCCTCAATGTCATCAGAAAATTGTTCTCTGTTTTGTACCCCTGTGACGATGGAGGCAAGAGTAGGGAATATTATTTCTGTGAAAGGCAATTGGATAGTTACAACATCATTCATGGACACAACAAATTATCACCAAAAATAAATATCCTGCAGATTTATTGAATATTCTGGGGTTGCCTAGGCAGGGCCAAACCGATTGATATCACAGGCCTTATATAACCCTCTGGACAATCAGCACCCCTGGAGGGGAGAATAAATTGAGAATTAATCGAAGATGTAACCCTTGTGTGGTCGTTGAGTTCCTGGATAATTTTCTCTAGAGTAGTTTTCCTGCTTACAATGCAGGGACTTTTATCTTATCTGAATTGTGACAAAGAAAAGCACCCAAAAGATTATCAGACTATGCAGAACCAAGCGATCGGGCAAAAATAAAGATACAGGGCAGTAGACCTGAATCATGCAGCTTAAAGTAGTGATAGGTGCAGGTATCATTTTTTGGTTCTTACGCCCTTGCCCAGAAAAGCACTTCTTTCCCATAACATGGACTCTCCCTGCTCACCTGGAGTAACTCCATGTCAGGCTTGTGACACACCTCAGCCAGCTCTCTGTACGTGTTTATCACCTGGTGTTTCTGTTGGGTCATTCTCATTTCACTACCCTGGAGCTGTTGGGAAATCTCCTGTGCTTCTCTGTGCAGGGCCTGCAGCTGCAGTTGCTCCTCCTCGTGGAGAAATATACGCAACTTCTGGTACTGAGCTTTGATCATCAGCTCCCTTAAGGACACATATTCCTGCAGAGATATTAGGTAAAAAGTTTACATATCTCATGCTGAACAGAACATTGAAATGGCCAATATTATTTCCAGAGTTGCCTGAGACACTGACATCCCATAGGAGTGCCTCTTCAAGTCCCTGCTGTTCCACTTCCCATCCATCTGCTTGCTAACATGCCTGGGAAGGAAGCAGATGAAGGCCCAAGTGTTTGGACCCTTACTTTCCACAATGGAGACCCTGATGATGTTTCAACCTCCTCTTCTCAGCCTGGTCCAGCCATTATAAGCTGGGGAACATACAAGTACATGGATGCTCCCCTCACCTCATCACTCTATCTTTCAACTAAATAAAACATTTCAAAATGTACTTTGCAGACTTTCTGCCTCACCCATGCAACACCTCTTGAGTATATGCAAGTCTTTTCTGTGCGTGCCTCCTGTAGGTTCTTAGTCTTTTTCTATGTTTAAATCAAGATTCACCAAATGATCTCAGGTGATTCTCCCCCTTCCCCCCCTCTGCCACCACCTCTCTGAAGCTTCTTCAGTATTTGTACCCCATCAACTCTTTTGACTGTAATGTAAGCCTACTTAAGTTTGTTCTGTTCCTTTGCCTGATTCTTCTAAATAATTAGAACTATTTAGGTAGAGTCTGTTGGGAGCAACCCGGACTGGACTGAGTTACTGGAATTAAGACTTATTCTATGCATCTGCTCTCCCACAATATGGCGCTGGGAGAGGAGGCAACAGCTTCTACCCAGCTGCCTCTCACCAACTTGACAAGCTGCAGGACCTGCTCCTGATTGGAGGAGAGCAGCGTACTCGGCATGTGGGCAGCCCAGTTAGGATTGGCGGAGGAGGACTATAAAGGAGGAGAGAGACGGCATGCACCAGGAACATCTAAGGGGAACACCTGTGCAGCCCCCGAGAGAGCCGGCCGGCGGTGTGCCGCTCCCCCGCGGAAGTGGGGAATGTGGCAGGGGGAACCGCCCTTCCACGGAGGTGGAAGGACCAGCAGCCAACCCGGGAAGGACCAGCAGCAAACCCGGGGAGGGCCGAGCAGACAGAAGAACAGCGCAGGGTCCTGTGTCGTTCCTCCACGAAGACGGGGAGCGACATAATGGTGCTGTGACTCGGATAGGAAACCTATGCAGGGTTTAGTGTCGTTCCTCCACGAAGAGGGGGAGCGACATAATGGTGTGGTGACTCGGATATGAAGCCTAGGCAGGGTTCAGTGTTGCTCCTCCACGGAGACGGGGAGCGACAGAGTCCACGTCACACAGTTTTCTTTAATGACTTCATTTTCTTAATTGATACGATTCTACTTTTCACTGCTTCTTCATAGCCATACTTAATGCTATCTTTAGTGTTGGATAAGGTTTGTGTAAACCTTCAGGGTTGGACTTGGAGTATCTGGGGTGACCTGTTTTCCATACACCAGGGTATGCTTCTCACTAGGTGTCTTGGCTGGCACAGGATTTGTGATCACTGAGTTACCATTTGAAACCACCACTGCTTCTGGGAGGAAATCACAAACTCTTCATGGTAAACGGAATTTGCCAAAGCAGTATAGTGATTGTAAGCATTATAGTAATTGAAGAACATCTTTTTCATTCTTACCTTGAATGAATGAGTCTTTTTAATTTCCTCTGTCACATTGTTTTTCAATTCCTGGATCAGTTCCCATAAAGTATTCATTTCCTTTAAAAGCTTTTCCTGCAGAATAATGATAAGATTTAGCAACATGGAATATATTCTTGTATATTTTACCTCCGTACTTATTAGAAATGGTGGTGGTTGAGAGAATGGTATTGAGACTACTAATTGTTGTATTCTGACTTCTTTTTCTGATGTAAGTGATTGTGACTAAAGTGGAGTGGTCATATTTTCACAAGTTGACCTAATTTGAGTCTTAGATTTGGGATACTGAGTGTGGTAGAAAATTACAAGGATGTCATTGCAGTGTAATGAGTTCATTGGCCTCCTGCTAAACCAGTATGCCATGTGGGCTGCAGTTCATGTCCTGCCCCCCCACCTCTGCTCCATCTCCCTTCTGATGGTCTGTGAAAGCAACGGAAGATGTCCCAAGTGCTTTGGCCTTTGACACCCACAGGAAAGTTCCAAAAGAATATCCTGACTCCCAGCTACAGCCTGGCCCAGCCCTGGTCATGTGAGCATTTGTGGTGGAACCCACAAACTGTATGGCACATCTCTCTCTCTCTCTCTCTCTCTTTCTCTCTTTTGCTTTCTGTGTTTGCATATAAAACTACCTTTGAAATAAGTAAATCTTAAAAATAAAAGATGAAACTTACAATAGAAAATGTGAATAAAGTCAATAAAATTTGCTTCCTTAGAAACGGTGTTTATGTTACTTGGCTGTGAAGCAGTCACAGTTGCAGCACAAGCCCAAGTTTCTGCTGATGACCACTTGCACTGCACCTTACCAACTGGCCTTGCATGGACAGTGCTTCTAAGCTGGCTCCCCCTCATGACAACTCAACCCAATTGTGAATATGGGGTCCATTGAGTAACAACATGGAAGGACACATTTACATCTTGGGATTCACAGGGAAAAATCACTACCATCACAGTCTCCATTCTCACCCACTTCCACTGCATTTCCACAAATCCCCACCTTTCTCTCTAGTTCAGGATCCCAGAGAATCCACATGGCTCTGGAGGCATTACTCACCCGGGACTCCTCAGCAGCACATTCCATCATGGTGTGGTCATGTATCTCTGGCTGTGGGCATCCAGAGAGAGGCTGATAGTGCAGGCTCTTGTCCACCTCTGTGAGGAGCCCTGCTGCTTCTGTCTGCTCACCAGGGACCTGCTCCTGCAACCTGGTGACCTGGTTCAATTGGTACTTTCTGGCAGCAGAAGCCAGCTTCTTGAGCACGACATTGGTTTTGAAGTTTGTCTTCTCTGACATCTCCTTACACATTGGGCAGCACATGGGAGTCTCGGCTTCCTCCCAGCTCAGAGAAAGGCAGGATCTACAAAAGTTGTGTCCACAGTCTATCCTAACTGGGTCTAGGAAGAAGTTCATGCAAATTGGGCATGTGAGTTCCTGCTGGAAGACTTGCAACGTGGCTGGATCCATGTCTCGATGAAGATCCTTTAAAAACAGAGAGAAATAAAGTGGTCTTCCCTGAAGAGAGAAAGCATGCACTGTGTACCGTTTTCTTCCCCTACTTGCCTGCATACAAACCTACACATCATGAGTATAAACATGCTGGGTCTACAATCTAACAGAAATAAGAAAGTAATACATGTATTATGGTTGTTTAAAGGAAGTAACCTGGGTCGGTGCTGTAGTGCAACAGATTAAAACCATGGGCTGCAGGGCCCACATCCTGGCTGCTCTACTTCTGAACAGCTCCCTGCTGATGTGCCTGAGAAGCTAGCAGAGGATGACCAATGTCCTTGGGCCACTGAGCATACCCATGGGGAGTCCCAGAAGAAGATCCTGGCTCCTGGCTTCTGATTGGGTCAGTGCTGGCCTTTGGGAACATTTGGAGAGTGATCTAGAGAATCAAAGACCTGTCTCTCTCTCTGTCTCTACCTCTAAGAATTTCTCTTTCAAATAAATAAAGAAAGAAACCTTTCAACTACATAATAAACAGTACGTAACAAATTTATTTGGAGAAATTTAAGATGATGGTAAAAGATGAGATGATTCCAAGGTTTGTTTTCATTTTCTTATTGGCCTAGAAGCAACACAAGATCAGTATTTCTTTCTGCATCTCCCCTCCTCCTCATCTTCTTCCTCTCTCTCTCTTCTCTGAGCTCCTACGCTATTCATTTCCTCCAGGACTGCTCAGCTTTAACACACACAAAAACAGTGGAACTCCATACTATGGGTCTATCCTCTCTGCCTTGCAACTCAGAGGTACTTTTCTGAAATCAGTTATGAGACCAGGCTTAATCGAAGATTATTTGATTTAATCAGTGTTAAGTTGAATGCTCAGCTTCTAAAACAATAAGCAGGTGAGTTTCCTTTTCAACCTCAACCTGAACATTTTCTTCAAGTAATAAACTACACAAATCATTTCCAGTTTGAGAAAATATCATTTTCCCAGAGTTAGTTCATGTCATCAGAGGGATGGTCACATTCTGAAAAGGTGAACAGTCAACCACAGCAATGGGCAACAACTGGCCAATTGTCCTTTAAATCAAGTAGAAGATGGCTCAAGTGCTTGGGCAACTGCACCCATGTGGGAGACTGGGATGAAGCTCCTGCCTCCTGGTTTTAAATCAGTGCAGTTCTGGCTGTTGTGGCCAAGTGGGGAGTGAACCGTTGGAGGGAAGACTTCTCTCTCCCTCCCTCTCTCTCTCTCTCTCTCTCACTAACTCTACCTCCCAAATAAATAAATAAAATCTTAAAAAAAAATTAGTAGAAAAGACACATTTGCTTTGATAAAACATCCGTAATCTGATCATTAAACTTCAAGTATATTTGTAAAAGAAACTGAACATGAAGGCCTGTCCTCTAAATTCTATACTCAAAGTGTGTGTGATGAGTAGTCTCACCTTTGGAAGTGCAGATGTGATTGGTCGTTTCAGTTCTATGCACAGCTGTTTCCAGTTCAGGATTCTCTCTTCTGATCTCAACTCCTCTGGGTGTGTCCCCTTTGACAGGATTTCACCAGACCCACCCACCAAATCCACTCAATGAGAGAGCTTCTGTCTTCAGAACTAATTGGATTTGCATCATGAGGTTACAGGGAAGGTGGAAAAGTGATTCATTGGATTTACAAGGTGCAGAAAATAGTACCCAGGGGCTAAGAGACAAGCAAACTGTAGACTGGGTTTGCGAGATGTGGGGAAGTTGACCAGATGTAAATTGTTCCAAGAAATTTTCACTGAGGGCTGAGAGCACCAGGCTTTTGCACAAGCTGACACTGGCAGACGTTAGAGGGTGGGAGGATGGCAGAAGTCCCTGTGGCTCTCCTCTGCCTTAGAGGAAACACCTCCTCCCTGCTGCCACCCTCCTTGCAGGATTCTGGTCCTGTTGTAGTTTACATCACAAACCTCCTTCACCCATAGTTACACTCTTTCAGATGCTGCTCTCTGGGTTGTTCCAACACTGTGAATATCTGCCATTATGTTTTTTTTTTTTTCCCAAAGTGGCCCCAAGACCTTGCTCCATGGTCTCAGATGTTTTCTTGAATGGTTAACTTAGGGGCTGGCCTAAGGGTTAGGCCACAGCTCACAATGCTGGCATTCCATGTGGGAGCTGTGGTGTAATCCAAGCTGCTCCACTTCCAATCCAGCTCCCCACTTTCATGCCTGAGAAAGCATTGGCAAATGGCTCAAGAGCTTGGCCCTGTGCCTTTCACTGGAGACCTGGAATAAGCTCTGGCTCCTTCCTAGCTTAGATTAAACCATCATTAGACAACCTGGCTGCAATGTAAAATTTCTGTAGAGAAATCATTTTACAGATTCCACAAGAAGATTTTCTATGGCAACCTTGCCAGAACTTCAGCATTTGATGCATATGGCATCAGAAAATTACAGAAAATATATTAATTTATAAGATACAAAATTATAATAGGCAAAAACTTTTATACATATTTCTATTTTTTGGATAGGCAGAGTTAGAGAGAGAAAGAGAGAAAGGTTTTCCTTCCATTGGTTCACCCCCCAGATGACTTATATATATTTCTTAGACACATGAACATATGCCTGAAAGCAACAGAAGACTGCTTATTGCCAAGTCATAAAATGAAAATTCCTCTGTTTTCAAGGTTTAAGGTAAAAATCTTCAATTCATTTCTATGGACCCAGTACTCACCTGACGATTGGAATTGGTCCTCTGCAACTTCTTGGATTGGATCCTGCGTCAGGTAGGTGGCTCTGAGTTCCCTGGGTTCTGGAGGATCAGAAGGTCTCCACAGCCCATTCAACACCAAGCCTCAGAACTGAATACACCTTGACTGGGTGAGACCTTTATACAAGAGGAGCAAGCCCCGCCCTGATGGGATTACTGTAGCAGAGAGGACTAGGGGGAGGGGCACTGTTTCCCATCATTCTTTGGGTGAACACCTTCTCAGGTGATTTAGTTAAAAGCAATTGGATCAATCTCAAATTACACAAAAGTTCTCTTGATTGAAATGAATAATTATTTGGGAGGTGACAGTTGTAAATTTTTGAATTCCAGATAGATATTCTCTGACTACACCCATCGAGATAGTTTGTATAACTATGGAAGGCCTTTCTTTCTGTCTCTCTATTTCTCCTCAAATAAGTTAAAAAAAATTTTTTTTTAAATGGAATGTGCTTGGAATGACAGAGATCATCACAACTTAAACTGAGGGTTGATCACATATGGAAGTGCCTGTTCAATCCTTGCTGCTCCACTTCAGATTCCTGCTAATGCAACTGAGAAAGCTGTTGAAGATGGTCCAAACATTTGGACACCTGCATCCAAATGGGATTCCCTGATGAAGCTTCTGGGTCAGCCTGACCCAGCCCAAGCTGTCTGGCAGTTTGGAGAGTGAAACAGCTAGTGGAAGATCTCTTTCTCTCCCTCTCTCCTTCACTCTGCCATCTTCTACTGCTTGCCCAGGCCATAGCAGAGAGCTGGATGGGAAGGGAGCAGCCGAAATGAAACCGGCAATACTTGTTAATTTTAGAAATCCAGATAGATATTCTCTGAATAAACCCATTGAGATAGTGTGTATAAAAGCCTAAATTAATAGATGGGTGAGTGACATGTTTACACTCACAAATCAATACAAGGCAGTAATGTATAGGGTTAGACATATCAATAAGTATCAAAGGAAGAATATCTGGAAATATAATTCTTGGAATTAATAGCAGTAAAACCTGCTGGGATAATTTTTGAAATTCTGATAGATATTTTCTGAATGTACTCATCAAGGGGATATTATGCATAAAAGCCTAAATTAATAGAATGTTGAAGTACATTTTTACATTCACAAATTGATACATGATGCAGAATTTATTTGTGTTGAAGTTATAACTTTAGTGATAACTTTCAAATTAAAACTTTAATATGTTGAAGTTATATATAGGACTGGCCATATCAATAAATACCAATTGAAATATACCTGGAGATATGATTCTCAGAATTAATAGTAGTAAAACCTGCTGGGATGATTTTACCTGATTGCTGTTTTATTTCTTTAAGTGTTTTGATTATCCGGAAAAGAGAATTAACCACTGTTTCAAAACAGTTGTAATAAGGCATGTATATCTCATAGAAGTTTCAAAAGAAGACAGGCCCAGCCGGTGCTGTGGCAATGTAGGCTAAGCTTCCTCTTGCAGTGCTGCCATATGTTTGCCAGTTTGTGGTGCAGCTGCTCCTCCTTGGGTCAGGATTTTGCATTGTCCCCGGAAAGAAGTAGAAGATATGCAAGTGGCCGGCAGCCACGGCTCACTAGATAATCCTCCGCCTTGTGGCGCCGGCACACCGGGTTCTAGTCCCGGTCGGGGCGCCGGATTCTGTCCCGGTTGCCCCTCTTCCAGGCCAGCTCTCTGCTGTGGCCAGGGAGTGCAGTGGAGGATGGCCCAAGTGCTTGGGCCCTGCACCCGCATGGGAGACCAGGAGGAAGCACCTGGCTCCTGCCTTCAGATCAGTGCATCGTCAACCCTAGCGACCACTGGGGGAGTGAACCAATGGAAGGAAATGCTTTGTCTCTGTCTCTCTCTCTCACTGTCTACAACTCTACCTGCCCCCTCACCCCCCCCCAAAAAAAAAAAGAGAGAGAGAGAGAGTTAGTATTAACAAAGTTATTCTAACATCAAGAACATTCATGTTTGGCTCGGTGGTTTCAGATCCACTTGGAATGGCCACATCTCTTTCTGGAGCACTTGGGGACATGTCCTGCTCCTCTGCATATTCTAGCTTCAGGGTAACAACGGGCACTGTGGGCAACCACAGGTGATGGCTCAAGTACTTGGTTTCTCCCACCCTCATGCAAGACCCAGAAATACATTTCTGGATCCTAGCTTTGTCCTTGCCCAATCCTAGCTATTTTGGGTAGTGAATTGGCAGGTGGAAACTCTGTAGGCTTAATATTATGTAATCTACTAACTCAAGTCACTACTAATTCAACTAACTGTGATGGTCAATTCTGTCTCAAATG